CTGCTTGAGGCTGGCGTGGGAAACAGACTAATAATAGTCTGTTTCCGAAACCTTGGTTCGGTGCCTGAGTTTCAGGGCCGGTCGTTCTGATGAACGACGGAAAATGGCCCTTCGTTTCAGGCTAAAAAGGCTGTTGCCATTTTTAGTCTGAAACGACCAGGGATAGGCCCTGGACTTCAGGCTTTTGGCCTGAACCGACAGGGGGCCTGTAAGCCCTGGATTTCAGGYTTTCAGCCTGAAATTCAGGCTTTCGGCCTGAAGTTCAGGCTTTTGGCCTGAACGCTGTCGGGCCTGCAAAATGGCCGTCGGGCCTGCAAAATGGCCCGTGTGTGCACGCGCTGCATGTAACAATTACCCTGGGATCCAGGGGATTAACTGAGCAGGATGTTGGGAGGAAGGGGGAACCTCTTCACCCCGAATCCGGCGCCCGATACATCACTACACACTAGTTCGTCCCTTCTGCTAAGCCATGTGGAATCCATGCTAGCTGGAAATTGGGTCCAGCGTCCCATAACTTGCCTAGGTGCCATGAGGAAAAAAACAGAAAGAGCCAATGGGGCCACCAGTGGAACCTCTTTTCGTCCTCCTAACACTTCTGACATCTGAAGCTCCCTTTTTGAACACAGATTACTCAGACTACCAGCATTGACTACCCCAATCCCAAAACAGAAACTTTTTCCATATGTGAGCATCTGTGAGCATATAGATTATGGCTGGATTTTATATAGGTTAGCTTATGTATGTATATGTGAGTGTTTTAGGAGTTGTCATTCAGGACAAAATCTCGGCCAGGGAAAGGGCATGTGGTGGGAACGGGTCTGGAAAGTCCGAGGGTGGGCGTAGTGGGAACGAGGGTTCTATGTTTGTCCAGTTCTTGAAGGTTAGACGGTAGTCTCTCATTTCTTCCAAATCCCGCTGTCCCTCTCCCCTGTCTCCACTCCATTCCACTTTTGCAATCCATCCTTCTCTCTTCCCTCCTCTACCCAATCTGTGCAAAATGCTGTAATTTGTCTCCTAACATCTTCAAATTGCCTAAGGAGGTCTAGCTGTGCTTTCGTGTCTAACCATCTTTGTGTGAGTTCAAAATGCACCTGCTGTTGAATCTGTTCAGTGATCTCTGGCCCTTCCACTCTCACCTTCTCCATGGCCAGGGTGCATCTCTGCCACCAAAGAGCCCAGACCACCCCCCTCCTTCCAAGTCTGTACATATTTTCTACAATGGTCGTGGCTGCTCCTTTTTTTTTTTTTTTTGCCTGTTTTTGTCTTACTTCAAGGTTGTTGTGTACCAAATTTGGTCTCATTTGGAGCATTGGAATTTCCTCTAATAAGACCATTTCCAAAAACGCTGAAAATTCTGAAAATTCGCTGAATCCAAAATGTCATTCAGGTGCACTTTTGCCTTACTGTTTCACCCTGTTTTTATTTATTTATTCGTTTTTTTTCTAATGGTTTGTTAATATGGTGTGCACTCTATGGAATGATGCAATTTTTGGTTAAAAAGCGCTTTTGGTTTTCTTATAAATAGCATTAAAAAAACGCTGAAATTTTGGGTCTCCGTTAACCGCCTCTCATTAACTGTCTCTCAACCGTTTTTTAGGTCTGAGCATTTTGTAGGCCGATCTGACCGACATCTGGTGCAGGCTGATGTGTCTGGCTTTGAGGCCTTCCCTCTTCTGGGGGAGGTTCCATGTCCATTCCGCTGGGTCCAAAGCCAGATCCTGTATTGTTTTGAAAGGTTGGAATACCACCCGCTGTCCTTTCTCTTCTATAACTCTCACTCAGTACGCAGATGATTTCTCTTTCCATTTGAAAGGTGCTCTTTATCCTTGGAGAATGCCTGCTCTGGTGATAGAGAGGTGTTCCACCAGGACTGTTTGAGATGAGACCATATGTATCTGGCTCATCCTCAGCGGGGTCTCCGTGCTTGCTACCCAGTCACCTTCTCTCAAGGTGGGGCCACGTTTAAGGATTCGGTACCACGCCAGTGGGATGGCTTCAACTAGATTACCCAAAAGCTCCTCGACGCGGTGGCAATATCGTAGGCTACCTCGCATTTGGTCTCCTGTTACCCAGTCCTGTCTGTCTCTGTCCCAGAGATCCCCTACCCTGAGCACCCCTCTCTTAACCCAAATTTTCTAATCTATATCTTATGAATTGCAAGATATTTCTTAATTTAGACACATAATTGAAATCCACTTCTCGATCCTGGCTCACCTCCGAAGTTGCCAGTGGCCTTGCATACCCAGAAAGGAAAGCCAGTGCCATTTTTTTTTATTTTTTTTTTTCTGAACTGCAGTGTGGTCCAGGGTTGGACCCCCCCGGCGGTCGACTCCCCTTGACTGGTCCGCTGCCAACCTGCCGACCGATCGGCTGGCCGGCACCTACTGGTTGGGATTCATCCGCATCCCGCAAAAAAAAA